GGTCCAGTTGTGAGAATTTTTGTTTTCTTTATGTTAAGATGTCATCTGGACTGAAGGCTGTAGTCTTTGATCTTCATTAGTAAGTGCTTCAAGTCCTCTTCACTTTCAGCAGGCAAGGTTGTGTCATCTGCCTATTGCAGGTTGTAAATGAGTTTTCCTCCAATCTTGATGCCTCAGTCTTCTTCCTATAGTCCACTTTCTTGGATGATTTCCTTAGCATACAGATTAAACAGGTGAAAGGACACAACACTGACACACACCTTTCTTAAATTCAAACTATGCAGTATCCCCTTGTTCTGTTCAAATGACTGCTTCTTAGTCTAAGTATAGGTTCCTTATGAGCACAATTGATTGTTCTGGTATTTCCATTCTTTGCAATGTTATCCATAATTTGTTATGATCCACACAGTTGAATGCCTTTGCATAGTCAATAAAACACACGTAAATATTTTTCTGGTATTCTCTGCTTTCAGTCAGGATCCATCTGATGTGAACAATGATATCCCTGCTTCCATGTCGTTTTCTGAATCTGGTTTGAATTTCTGGCAGTTCCCTGTCATTACACTGCTGCAGCCTCTTTTGAATGATCTTTAGCAAAATTTTACTTGTGTGTGATATTGAAGGTATTTTTAGATAATTTCTGCATTCTGTTGGATCACCTTTCTTGGGAATAAGCATAAATATGAATTTCTTCCAGTCGGTTGGCAAGATAGCTATCTTCCAAATTTCTTGGCATAGACGAGTGAGCACTTCCAGTGCTGCATCCATTTGTTGAAACATCTCAGTTGGTATCCTGTCAATTCCTGTAGCCTTGTTTTCTGCCAATGCCTTCAGTGTAGGTTGGACTTCTTCGTTCAGTATGATCGGTTCCTGATCATATGTTACCTCCTGAAATGCTTTGAATATCAACTGACTCTTTTTGGTACAGTGACTCTATGTACTCCTTTCATCTTCTTTTGATGCTTCCTGCATTATTATAATATTTTCCCCACAGAATCCTTCAATGTTGCAAGATGACGCTTGAATTTTTTCTTCAGTTCTTTCTGCTTAAGAAATGCCTAGCATGTTCATCCCTTTTGGTTTTCTATCTCCAGGTCTTTGCACATTTGATTGTAATACTTTACTTTGTCTTCTCAAGCCACCCTTTGAAATCTTCTGTCCAGCTAGCTCTTTTACTTCTCATTTCTTCCTTTCATCTTAGCTACTCTAAGTTCAAGAGCAAGTTCCAGAGTCTCCTCTGACATCCATTTCGGTCTTTTCTTTCTTTCCTGTTTTTTAATGACATCTTGCTTTCTTCATGTATGATATCCTTGATGTTATTCCACAACACATCTGATCTTCAGTCATTAGTGTTCGATGTGCCAAATTCTTTCTTAAATGGTCTCTAAATTTGGGCGGGATATACTGAAGGTCGTACTTTGGCTCTTGTGGACTTGTTCTAATTTTCTTCAACTTCATTTTGAACTTGGATATGAGCAATTGATGATCTGTTCTGCAGTTGTCCCCTGGCCTTGTTCTGACTTATGATATTGAGCTTTTCCATCGTCTCTTTCCACAGATGTAGAAGATTTGATTCCTGTGTATTCCATCTGGGGAGGTCCAAGAGTATGGTCACAGTTTATTAGAATTTTAAAAATCGGATGAGAGGGGAACCTGCTAAGATCACATAGGTACAAGCTCTATTATCTTCAAGTTACCCATTAAATTTCACCAGTTATTACATTCTG